CCAGCTAATTTTTTGTATTTTTAGTAGAGACGGGGTTTCACCATGTTGACCAGGATGGTCTCGATCTCTTGACCTCGTGATCCACCCGCCTCGGCCTCCCAAAGTGCTGGGATTATAGGCTTGAGCCACCGCGCCCGGCCTGTGTTGGCTTCTTATTCAAAGTAATAACTCCTTTGTTCTTGGACATATTCATAGAGTGGGGTGTTGCTACCAAGCAGAAGGAACCTGAGTCTGTTCTTTCCTTTCCATGGTAACCACTGGCATCAGAGCCTCTTGTCTGTTTATTGCCCACATCCTGACTGTATATTCTGATACCTCTTGATAGACTTGATTCTGACTCTTGCCTTTGTCTCCCCCACCGCATGTGGTTGTACTGCTTGATGAATATCTATAAATTTACTCTTCAATTCCTGCAGGGTCTTGGCAATCAAGAAAGTGACTGAAAATGTATCTTTGACGTTAGCTATCATTTGACTGCTCATAACTGTCACTTAATTGGCCACTGGCTGTATACTTGTCTTTCCTTGGCACTGAATCCAGTTTGACCCTCGGCATCTCTTGATTGTCCATGACTTGATCCCTGTCTGGCAAAACTGTGCTGGATCTTACCTGCCCATGAAAAGTTGTATCTCCCTAATGTTGCTGGCTAGATCCATGTATAGCTATTGTACTGAAATCTAACTTTTCATGCCTAGATCCTAATTGCTCATGAGTGTCTTTCTCCCAATCTTCTGAATGCCTTTTACTATCATTATGGGATTCCTGTTTTCGGTTTGAACTGGATTCTGAATGGCTATGAATTAATATGCATTGTCCGTGGCCAAATACAGGGTGGTCGCTTGATTGGCTATATGTACATCCATTCCTTCTGCCTGTGTTATATCCAGGACGAACATGGGTGTGGTTTGACTGTTTATGAGTTACTACTGAACGTCCATGACTAGATTCCTGACTTCTAATTATAATAGGTCCAGACTGATACTGAGAATGAATTGATTTTTCATGACTTATCATTGACTGTTCATGAATTAAACCTTGTTTTCCTGTTCTTTTAGTTGCTTTGGATCCTATAAGGTAAGAACTAGAAAATAATTGTCAATGTCTAGACAGTTGCTTCTTTGCCGTACTATCAATGGACCATGCAGGGCGAGAAATCTGGCTGCTTTGTCTGCTGTCCCCAGAAGGCCCATACCCAGTGTGCCCATAGTAATATTCTGCAGATCCATAGCTGCCATGTTTCCAAGCTGGACTTGATCCATGCCTTTGTCTTTCACTACTATGTGACTGAAAATGACTTGTTCTGGTAGATCTGGAACCTGTCTGTGTGGATTGTCCATCACCAGAATAACCATGTCTAGTGCTATCTCCTGTCTGTCCATGAGTAGTTCCATGTCTCCTGTGAACTGTGGATCCTGACTCTCCATGTTCAGATCCAGCTTGGCCGTGTGTGTGACCTGAATGTGTGTGTGAGGCCCCTGAGTGCACCTCAGTGTCACTGGACTCACTGTGGCTAGATCTCTGTCTTCCAGTTGTCCTGGACCCTGTCTGTGTGGACTGTCCATGACCAGAC